GTCTACCGGGCCCCTGGCTTTGTTGTGCCCGGCAAGCTCTTTGAATATGACCTCTCTTTCCACACTTGTGACAGACTTCTTTCTTAAATCTACACTCAGTTGCAACATGGGTATTAGCTCCACATCGATAACACACTACAGGGGAAGGTGGGCCCCTATCTGATCTATTCGAGGGTCTGTTCAGTGTCAGTTTGTCAAGACCAAGAGGTTTTTCTTCTCTACCCTTGCTGTGGATCTTTGTAGCATCTCGAGTGGCTGTTTCCATAGCAACTGCTATGTCAACAGCTTTGGAGAATTTTAATTTTGACTCTGCAAGGAGACGTTTCTGAATTTGCTGATTACTTAATCCACACACCAATCTGTCGCGCAAGGTTTCTTCCAAGTTACTTCCAAAATTGCAATGCGTGGTTAATTTCTTTAAAATGCTTTACAATGCATTACTTAAAATGCTCTCCCCTTCTTGCTGATTTCTCTTATAAAAACGAAACCGTTCGGCTATTTCTAGTGGTTTAGGATTTAAATGCTTCTGTAATGTACTTACTATTTCATCAAAGTTCTTGTCTGCAGGCTTTTCTGGCAAAAGTAAATCCTTTAATAATGAATACGTTTTGCTTCCAATCAAACTCAGCAGAGTTGGCACTTGATGATTGTCGTCGACATCGTTTGCAGCGAAAAAATGTTGTACTCGTTCGACATACGTCTCCCAGCTTTCTTGGGTTTCATCAAAAACATCAATTTTTCCAATCGTCGTCATTTCTGGACTTATAACAATCCCAAATTCGTCGCCACTGTCGTGTATTTAGATTATACTTTTTAACAAAATATGAATAATACATAAGCATGGCCGATCTACATATCTAATGCGCATGTCCGTGCGTATGACCGCTGTCCGTCTATATCTATATATCTAACAAGTTTCATTCCTGCCACAGGGCATATAGTTGCATTTTTCGTAACTGCTCCTTGTTCGGCGTAATACATGCTGTAAATGTATAATTTTCTCCCTCAACATATAAAGAAAGACTGCAACTTTACAGTCAACTTATCCTTATTCATCCACTTTGAGATCTAGAACTGAGTGATTGAATCCTACGATTGAAACAAAACGAATCATGTAGGTAAAGCTGCATTGAAAACAGGGCCTAACCAGACGCGTTAATTGGGAGGTGGGAGGTGGGTGCATATTCATATATTCATGTTATCACATACCGTGAAAATAATCGCTTTCAAAAGAAATCAGTACTCAGTAGGGCAGAACACGAGTATGCGAAAATGCAACCCCCTTCCCCCAACCATTATCGCGTCTAGTTACGACCCTGATTGTAAATTAAAATGAATAACCTTGTCTGAAAAATAATAACATTCTGATTCTGTATAGAGCGATAATGTAGCGCAGTAACCAAAAATTAAATTAACTATTGTTATGCCTTTATTGGCCTTCTGTAAGAAGAAAATGTGCACATGTCATACAGCAAAATTTATAATTATATTTATTAGTTCGTTTTCCTAAGGATGTTGAACTCGTCCACAGGTCATTAAAATACTATAATCACTATAATTAAGATGAATATGCGTCAAATACTGTGCATTACTATATGACTTGAATCAGATGATTGCTTATGAAATGTGCTCAGACTGCCCATTCCACTTCATATCACCATGGGGTCGACCGGCTACTGTACTACGTACTACTGACATTTTTAGCGGCCACAACAGGTATAAATATATAATTGTATTCAATTATTCTTTATTGCAAACAAGTCTTTAATTAAAATTTAATCTACATACTGCTTCAGAATCACGAAACAACGTCCAGTCGCCCTTCCTTGTCTCGTTTTCGTTTCTATTTTGAATGACGTTTGTAAGTTGGCAGTTTTCAGTGTTGAGTTGTGTTCTGAAGTTAAATCCAACACATTTCCCGTCTTTTTCGCAAAGAAAAAAGCACTTTGCTGCAATCATTGTGGTTGGACCATCAATGTTGTGACTTGATATTATCTCATCGGGAGGTAAATGTGAAACGCCTGCAAAGAATAAGTAAAAAATTAATGTTCCGAGTTTTAAGGCGTCGTTACACGGGACGATTCGTAACGCACATTGAACTGGCTCGGTGCGTATACACGCACGTAAAAGTTTAAATTAATTTATAAATTTCTTATGAAATAATTAAGTGAATAAAAGGACGAAATTTAGTTTCGCATGCGTACTATATAATTGTACAGATACAGATATTACACAGCACACTTCCTATCAGGGTTTTTCAGTGACTGGTTACATTGTGAGTAGATATATAGATATAGACAGAAACGGGTATGACATGACGCAGATTAAGGTAGATTGTGTATGAGCTTACAAATGGCGCTTTAAGCAGCCGCTATTGGTGGCCATTAGTCCATACCTCATTAATAATCTGTCCCCTGACATATATTTTTAACCCACCCTGTCAACTTTCCCTGTGGGAGGAAAATGGAGTACCCGGAGAAAACCCAAGATTTTCTGCAGAGCGTTGACTTTTACTCTTTTCACGTGGGGATTGACTTCGTGTCACATTGAGGAAGTTCCTCACTGAGAATTGAACTCGGGACCTAAGAGGTGAAAGGAAAGTGCTCTAACCACTTCGCCATGGAAAACCCCTGATTGTTAATTGAGGTAAATTGTTGAGGTAATTTGTACTTGTAAAGATTAATTAAAGCGAGTTTTCCGTGCGTGTACGTGCGTGGGAAGAACCCTTAAATGGAAAGTAAAGATGGAAAATTAGACGAAATATCGTTTCGATTTCACAGCAAAACTAATGTCTCATATGTAGAACACATATAATGGCAGTCCCTCGCTTTTATTGCCATCAACGAATACATGCATGTATTCAATAACAGTTTCTTAAAAATCTCTAATATGCGAATCAGACTCCTGCAACAAAAAACGATTTAATAATTATAACGAATGGCAAGTATATAATTATCCTTTTGTTGGAGCATTATACTTCTGCAACGACATTGCCGACTAACGTCGATATCAGCCAAATAACAAAGGATTTTCCTGGCGTCAACTAGAAAAGTATCTATAAGAACCGAGCGATATGTCTAACTTATTTTTCCTTTCGTGACTTGTAGACATATTGTTTACTATTTAGGAATAAACATGCAATTCCCATTCTTGACTACTAATTTTTTATCTTGGCAAAAAAGTATATTTCCGGAAAGAGTATACTAAAATAAATAAAAGTTTGGTTGCAAAATGTTGTAAAATGCGCAAAATATAGCCTTGCTAATTATGTTCGCAAATTTTGTATACTTTTGTATTGCGTGCGGAAATTGCTACCACATTTGGGCCGAAAATGGTAGCAATTTCCGCACGCAATACAAAATTATACAAAATGTGCAAACTTTGCATGGCTATATTTTCCGCATTTTACAACGTTTCGCAACCAAACTATGCAATTTTACTCATTTTCGTGTGATCTTTCTAGCTGTGTTGATTTAATTGGCATATCCTTGCCTAGTTTTAAAATTAGTCTATAATGGGAATTAGTTATAGTTATATCATGCAAGGACGTCGCGCGAATTGCATTTGCATTTCCAGTTCATTTGTTTGTGCAACTGTTGATGCATGTTTGATACGCCGGTCGTAGTAAAAAATTCTGTAAACAAACGTGAAGATATGCATAGGAATTATCCAACAGTGTTTAAAGTTTTTGAAAACATTGTTTTCAGTATCTATACTAACAACTTGCATACATCAGATAAACAGGATTTATTTGTTCGTCATCTATAAGCCGTTTTGTAAATTAAAAGGCCCGTCAATGCATGACCAAATTCCTTGGACTGAGAAAAGCCGTTGTTAGAGGATTATTAATTAATATAATCATATATACTATAACTAAAGAGACTTTATTCGTTATGCTAGGAAGACTATACTTACCGACAATGATGGGCTGAAAAACCCTGTGAGTACATTGGTTTGCTTTAAACTTTGATATAGTGACCAGGAGTGATGCTAAAGTTAACCATTTAAGCACGTTCCTTGGATTACAAGCATGCATCATAATTCCTCTATATGAGGTACTCATTAGCGCTGCAGTTTATAAGTGCGAGTGATCGTGTGAAATGTTAACATTAAAAATAATAATGAATATAGCAGGTACAGGTAGAAATTGCACATGTCACGATCTCAGCTTGATACAATAGGCTGCCTAAGCTAAAATAAGATCCGTTTCAGACGGCGTATACTCTTCTTAACTAGATAGATTTAGAAAACACCACGCGACGTCTAGGACGAAGTGAAAATGAGGTATGAACCGCGCGTTCACTTTCGATTTTTAATCTGGGACGGCAAGTTTAATTGCCTTTATTTTTCGAAGCAAAATTTTGTTTTCTTGCTACCTGCTCGTTTCTGTATTGTTTTCAATCACTGCGACGTTGTATTCCATTGAAAAAACGTAAATCGAAAACACAGAAACGCAAGACAAAACTCCGGATCCATGAGGTGAATGAGGTTTAAAATGACGCATTTTATCCCCATATCCATTCCATGAATCCACTCCGTGGATCCGTTCCTTGTTCGCTTCCGCATTTTAACCAGATTATGACATGTTCACAATAACACGATCAAATTCATGAGTCATTTTCAGCTTTTCCCATGTATTCAGTAATGTCATTTTAGGTTTCAATAGTTTCACAGTCATATAGCAGTGTTTATAGCAGTTTTGACAAACTTTGATACATATATATACAGGATGTCTTAATTTTAAAAAAACGCCACGGAAATTCAACAGGCTGTCATGCATCATAAACATGGCTAAACAATTCAATTTTTACATGTGAAGAAAGAACAGTTATTTAGCTTTTCAATGCCACTCTTTTTAAATCGCATGCAACGATGAGAAATGGCCACATACTCGTCAAATAAAAATTGTCGGTCGAAATCAGATTCTTCCACCGTTGGCAGAGGAGGTTTGACAGCTGTCATGTCAATATCTCGACCAATGAAATCGCGCTATTTTGCCATTGTGTTTGCGAAGATTTTTGGCCTTCAAACTTGCATTGGACACAGAGGCACTCAAAATTCAAAAAATATATATAAATATTCAAATTTTTCTATCAAAATGCAACCGTGGCTTTAGTATTATATAAAGGACTGGCAATATGTGCAAGAATTTCTGAGGTAAATGTTATATTTTAACCTATTTTCGATGATTACGGTTGGTCATGTCGTCCCAACGTGATGACTCAAGTAGGCTACGAGTTGTTTGTAACTTTCAAACTTAAAAATCTGGAATTTCCATGGTTCGATTTTCTTCATTTTTGAAAAAAAGTCAAGACAAATGTCTAAACTAAAAATCTGCTGGAGGGATCTCCGGCAGTTTTCAACCTTTGCCAAAATGGCGTGTAATATCTGGGGAAGATATTGCCCAACAAAAGCTTGGTTTTCACAATGAATTTTGAAAGTTCCCTAATATTAGGGTCATTTTTCTTTACAGTAAGTTTTAAATTACTTTTGAAAGACTATTTAGAAGACTTAGGAGTTATTTGCCTGTTTTTACAGATTTTATATCTGGGCTGGTATTACTAGTCTACATGCCTCTCTCCTTGACATGCATGCCTATCTCCTTGGCAAGTGAAATTGTCTGCTGGTATAGAGTCGATTTTACTAAAAGAACAGCACATTATAAAGTGATCAGATTTTCTCTCAATGAAAAATGCTATGTTCCTTTTAAATTACAGCAGTTCAGATGTCGATATGAAATTGAAAAAAAGCGATTCAAGCATTATATGCGGTGCTTTCAACATTATACGCAGTGCTTTCGTCATCATACGCGGTTAGCGTTACAGCAATAGCGAGCTTGGGCAAGCGTTGACCGGAAGCAAATTTGACGTCATCAACCAATCAACATTTTTGACCCAGTCTTTTAACGTTACTCATGCCGTTTGTGTTGTCAAAAAAGTCGCTTGCTTAAGCTCGCTATTATACCAACATACGACATTCCATCAAAGCATCAGGCTCAAGGTATAGTGCTCCAGTGACCTATGCAGTTCAGTTTCAAAATGGCGACCATTCATTGAGTGGCCATAATGATTCAAACAACTTCGTTAAAATTTTCAACGAATTGTACTGGTTTTCTGTGGATTTTGAATTCTCTCGCACTCTGCACTTTCTTGCCAGTTGAATTGTTGTGTTTTTTTTTGTGAAACAACTCTGAAAATCCGCAATTTGGTTGCTGTGTTTCCGAGAATTAATTATACAATTTTATACGGATCGGTCATTTTATAAGATCGGTCATTTTAAAACTACAAAGCGTACCAGTGTTGAGGCGTTCACATTGTCCTTGCATGAGCTGCAAACGCACTAGTATTTGTGACAACACTATACCGCAACCAACCTACCATGCTCAGGCTTTTAATACAGCATATAAATTTCCACATATTTTGTGCCATTCTGAAGCAGCAAGGTTCACGGATTGTGTGAATTTTTTTTGGGAAATCTGCTAGGGCAGGCACATAGGATCTGAAGCTCAATACAGTAGTAAGAAGTATGTGACCTCTTTTTAAATGCTGTCAAAAATATGAATATACTCCGAGATGCAAAAAATATGAACCACTAGTTAGGCATGCACTAGCTACAAGAAACGCCTAAAAATACCTACTACCTAAAATAGAAATATCTAATATTAGGTATTTCTATTTTAGGTATTAGTAAATATGTTTAACCCAAATTAATGTCGAAATGAGTGGCGGAAATTCAATTTACAGTAAGCATTTTTGTCCTTATGCTCTACCTCTGCCGATTTTGTGTTCATTATGTGACCCCCAGCCGGAGCGAACGCCTGAGCAGGCGTCTTGTTCTACATGTTGTGTAGGTAAACAGGTGGGAAATTTGTCGTCGCTGACCAAAAAATCGCGGGCAGAAACAAAGCTCATTGCATTTACATTCAAAACAAAGCTGAAAGCTAGCAAGAAGCTGTTTTAGGTGACGATTTTTTGCTTTCGATTCAACGATTTACAAATTAACGGTTATTCTTTCAAAAGTC